ATAGACGAGTCACAACTTTTACGCACGCACCAAAGCCGTCTGTCCCAATTTCTATAAACTTTCAAATTTAGGCTATATATTGTCAGTAGGGATAAAAATACAGAGTGGGTCAGACGAGGACAAAGTTGGAGTTCTTGTGTGTATGTGTGGTATTACAAAAAAGACATGATGGAACTCAACCGTGCGATATTGATACCCAAATATTAAATATTATCATTATTGTATAACTGAACTATATAATGCATTATAACACGAAGCAGACAGGGGAATTCAAAATATAGAAAAATAAGATAATACGTCCAATGGAGCACGCGAATAATGGGCACAAAAGAATCATATGCATATACAAATCAATAGCCTATTTAACCAATCGCTTGCTGTATGTGCTTATGAACAGGTACGCAGACATCATGGCTGGTTGTAAGACGCAAAGAACGCATAAAACGTAGCGAGTCCATTGTTGCGGTCGTTACAGCGTTATAAATCTAATAGATATTGCTGTACGTGTGTGGAGACGTGCATCCGCTGTACCCTCCCACTTTGTCCTCCCGGAGTTCAGCCGTCGCCTTTATCTGTTGCTGTGTAGGGTCAAGACGAGCGAAGAGCGTCTATCCGCAAGAGGAGCCACTCAGCAGCGAGAGCAGTCCCTGTCAACCAATAGTCACTTCTATTCTGCCTGTATTGCAATCACTGTATACAGTGGCGTGCAAAAGTAGTAATACGACTGGGGCTTTTGCGAATGTAGTCATGTATACGACCACAAACAAAGACTATAAATTAGGTTTTTTTTTTTTTTTTACAATAACAGACAACTGAGAACCACCCATTCACTGCGTTTCAAGAAGTAAAAATCACCACACAAAATCCCATGGATGTATCATATTGTCTGGACAGGGTATTGCCAGCTGATCTACCAGGGTTCACCAGGGCTACTATTACCCCATAGACCTCATTGTTAACAAAAACAGCTTGTCCTCAGCTGACATAGAACCAACAGCTTTCTCAAAGGCCAGGTTTACTGGGAAACACTGGGGATTTTAGAGTCATCTTTGTCATCCTCAACTTTTTGGTTTTGAACTCCATACATTTCTATGAATCCACATGTTTGTGCTTCTAAACACTCAACAGCAGGCTGTGCACTAGTGCCGCCCTCTTCAGTCACCATCAGAACGCTAAAGTGTACCACAAACTGCGAACCTACTGCGCAAGATCGAGAGAACCAGAGGTCGCCGAAATGCACCACTTCCGCTAATATTTCGGCCTCCGTGGTGAGACCATACACCAATGAGCACAGTCCATTGATTTGAAAGGGAAGATAAAATGGGTCGCCGGGGCTTGCAAATCCAAAATATCAAGAGTGTGAAGAGACAAAAAGGGCTACTTGCTACCTTCTACTATCCACAGCACAGTGGCTTCGGACGAAAAAAACATAATTCAACTGTAAAATGTTACTTAACTTTGCAGGTTTTCATGTTTTGTAAACAAACAACATATGTTAATGTATGTGGTTACTACTCACCAGAAAGCCAATCACATCTGAACCTCTTTTTTCAATCTGTTATGAGAAACAGTTTTTCAAAATCCCAGCAGAGATTTATAGTTTTTCTGAGGGCATTTTATTACGTATGACGATTTCCTTATGACTCAAATTTTGTCCTAACGATTATATGCATGGTTAGCAAGGCAAGGTTACACAAACCTCTCCTAAGCTTCTTTGGACATCTCATGGAGCACTATTCAATCCATTATTCGGAAATGAAAATAGTATGTACCACTTCAAAGGTGCCAAGACACGGACGGATGGGAATAACATCCAGTCTCTAGATGAACAAAGCTTCGTTGTATCATTTTGTTTTCCCTTCACAATTGTCTGTTACTTTGTTTTGATCTTTCAAATAATAGTTAAAAACAACAATCATCTACATATCAATCTGCACAAAACTCCTACTGCCAATCTTGCATTGTGTACTTGTTGTTGATAGGCTTCTTACATTTCTGTGTGCTTCGTATAACACTGAAATCTCCCCACTGTGCCACGAATAATGGTTCTTTTATCTTATTGTTTAGTTCTGTCTGGTAGCTATGGTGAACACTCAATATGTACTTCTTATAACTACTCCACAAATCCGCTCAAATGCCTCAGCCCAGTAGCCCTTTGCATTGATTTATTTTTCCATCTTTTATTAGAATTTGCAGCAATAATTCACACGTCATGGCCTACTTAAATTCAAACCATATCCCATTCTTCAGATTTTTTTTTTTTTTTATACAAAGAGAATTTCTGTGTCTAAAAGAAAGTCATTGTAAAACGTCATATTTGGGGCTTTTGTGCATTTGGACAAGTGATTTGCGCTAGGTCCAGTAGTGATGACCTTAAGCCTCTAGAGCAGGACATTTGCTCTGAAATAATGGAATAAAAAAAGAAGGAGGAAATAAAGTGCTTTCCTGCTGCTGGTTTGCTATGTTACAAAGTGGTTTGGGCACATGTTCTATTCTCTTTATCTGGTCGGATTCTGTGCCAAAACAGTCAATACACTTAAAATCCCGAAGGACACATAAACTGAACAAAGCATTTGAAGTACCGGTTAAAAACTACCTAAGAAGACTACTACAATGGAATCATTACAGATGGAACAAGAAATAAATGATTACAAAAGCTTGGTTGAAATCCAGCGAGGAGCAGTCATTCCGACACGTGTGACTAAGATGGATCTCGTTCTGTAATTGTATCCATAAAAGAGTAAATGTTTAATGCACACTGAAGCCTGCCTATCTATAATGGATCGTGTATAAAAGTTGTGCATTCTTTCTTTCTTGGCACTGGCTCTGCTTCCTTGATACCAGTGCGAGTTGGCACACCGTGTACCTGTGTTACAGGCTGTACCAGATTAGATCACTTATGCCACATTCTAGTGACTAATGAGTATCGATATAGTCCAAGAGTAATTATTACTGTAAGGACTGTTCATAACATTTAAAGTACATGTCATGATAATAATTCATCTTAAGACTTGTCTATGGCGTAACAATAACTATGGCCAAAACTGTCAATAATAGATTTGTGTGATGATGGGCATGAGTGACAGAAAGATGAACACATTTGAATACATAGTTCCCACATGACGTCACTACATACGGGGATTTGCCGACCCGGCGCCATTTGAGTTGGCATGCTGTGGGCAAAACAATAGAAAAAGAAGCTGAAACGTGTTAATGTCGTGATAAAGTTGAAAATGGTCATCTCCTGCTGGGTCAATGGATGTTCAAATCGTGCCGGAGGTTCCGTTAAACTTGGATTTTACAGTATACCCATCATTAGACTTCATGAATGTGAGAAGACTAAGCTTTTGTCAGAACAACCACGGAGGTTATGGCTTGCGAAGATAAACAGGCAAGAAACTCCCTCAAAACACGCAAGAATATGCTCGGAGCACTTTGTGTCAGGTGCGTATCGTATCTTATAATGTGTTGACAGACGTAATTTACTCAGTACTAACTTGTGTATGCTGATATCTGGTAACTTGAGAGTTTCATTATTTAGCGTTAGACTACTTTATTATGAGGAGGATCGGTGTCGCGTCCGAGGCTCTCGAGGGCCACGTAAATGTATTAAATAGATAATAATAGTTCTATGGTGGGCTAAAACAATGTTCACAAACAGCATTGCTTCTGTAAAAAGATCTGTGTCATAAAATAAACTGCTCTTTACGCCTGGAAAAATCAGTTGCCCACCATTCACCAAAACATACGGTCAAAAACGCGGAAATAAACAATAACAGCAATCCAGAGTGTCCGTGTGGCATTAGCATTAATTAAATTAATTGTTAATATAATTAAAATAATTAAATGGAGCTCCAACTGGTATTAAATCAAAAGGCTTTGAGAAATGTTTGCATTGCTTGTTAATTTTTGCTGCATAATTTGATCAAATATGTAAAACATGTCCGTAGCACGTTAAACTGTGGTGCCATTGTATTAATATACAATTATTTGCTCAAAAGTTGCCCTTTTTTTTCCAATTTGCGTTTGAATATCTACATTTATTCTCATTCTTCTGTTTAATGGAATGCACAAACACAGCAGCGTGCCATCAAAGATGGCGTCTCCGAGGAGGTCATGTGACATTCATTGGTCTGTGGGAACTATGTATAGAGCTTAACTGATTTGAGTCAACACAAGTGAAAATGTAAAAAAAAAACGATATATCTAAATAATTGAGAAACTATTGTGAACTTATTCTGAATTTCAGAGAGACACGCTACGTTGTAATTGGATCGTCTTTGTCTTAGACGGTGGTCTTACTCTTTGGTTTCAGACCCTTCAGCAGAAGTAGAGACTGGCTTCAAGCAGAGGAACTTCAATTCAACAGAAGCCTACAGGAATGGGGCTTATCAGTATCACCTCTGTCTTCAATCTGGCACAGACCTGATCTATCTATGTCCTACAACACTGAATCATTTTTGTGAAACCTGCAGACTTAAATAATTGTGAGGTGGATTCTACTACTGAGCATCAATTTAATAATAGAACAAAAAGTCTAACGAGATCATTAAATAGCCAAAACATGTAGTTGATCAAAGATTCTGAATTATAAATGCCCATCAGCTCTCTACGTCTGCAGGACGCCCAGTTCAAGTAGTTTACTCTGCAGATTGACTACATGATTGTAATGTCACAGTTCCAGCCCTGTGCAGACACAGAGTTGCTGCTCCCGCTGAGCTGCAGAGTGAGCCCTCTGCGCGCTCAGCCTCTCTTTGCACTGTAACCGGATCAGACAGAGCGATGGGACGTACTATGGGACGTACATACGGACTGTTTGCTTCCGAATGGGCCAATGAGACCGCCTTTACATTAGACTGACACAGCCACTCGTCGAGCCGCAGGACGCCCTACACGTGTGCCAAGTGAAAACAGCCAATACCAGCACACGGAGGGACGGGGCCAAATACAAACTACTGTTGGAGGTCACACGTTACCTGTTTGGGTATAGTTAGAGCAACATGGCCCTGTCCCAGTGCCTGGAAGACTCCCCTCTGGCGTTTGTCGCGTCCAAAACCAATGGCGAAGACCTCCAGGACGTGTACAATGAGAAACACCGGCTGGCGTTAGAAGAACTGCTGTCCGGAGGCGTGGATCGCTTCTTGGACTTCATCAGAAAAGAGAAGATTCCCAACTTTCTATCGGACGAAGAGATAGAGCGAGTGAGACGGGCGTGCGTGGCCCCCCAGTGCGCGTCTGTGAGCGTGGACGACCTCCAGCTCGAAGCCTCCGTGAACAGCTCCGTGGACTGCTCCTCCGTCACGTATTTCCCCGAGGTGTCCGACGTGGAACCGCCGATTCTGGAGCTGGGTTGGCCGGCCTTCACAGCAGGCTCATACAGGGGAGTGACCCGGGCCGTGGCGCACTTCCAGCCCAGCTACGGAGAGAGCATCTACAGCTGTAAAGAAGCGGTGCGACGCATGGTCCGTAGTGCGAGAGAGGTAAAAATATAGAATAATAAAGCACACATTTGATTCTTTCAGGTAAAGACATGTAGGCCCAACCCCCACCTCACCTGTTGGATAGAGCAGGCCTCATCACGTTATTTTACTGCTCCACCAAAGGAATAGTAAACCCAACATTTACCATTCACTAAATTGAGTTTTCTTATGTAGCTTTTTGATCATTGCTATTTTTAAGAGTTAGACGTTGTGTTCAATGTTTCACCTGGTTGCACCACAAACATAAAGAAGGCACGTGTAATAAAACATCTATGCTCGATCCTAAAACATTTACTATTGAACCTCTGAACAAAACACATATTTAAGCGACTTATACACGTTTGATGTCCCCATCCTCAGGTAATATGATATTACAGACAGTGTTCATAAGTGACACAATTCATTATCAAGGTAACACCTGAAAATTAATGAATATATTTGAGGACATTAGACTGTTAAGTTAATCCATTAATCACAACTATCATTGATTATTGACATTATTTCATTTAGTAATCGACGAATATATTTTTTTAACCTTAAACAGACAAACATTCTGGGAAAAGGTTTAATGACTCAGATGAGTCTATAATGAATATGTGTTTACAAAGTATTTTAATCAAATAACCCAATGTGTAACGAGTTCTCTCTACGTTCTCCAGGGGCATCACTCGAGCTTTGTTTTTGTTAAATGTATATACAATATCATAGTCAGTGACATTTTGGGTCAAATCAAAAGAATAATTGGCTAACCAATCGATTATCATAATAATTACAGCCCTTCAGACAGTTTTAACATCTGTCTTTAGAGCAGTTCATGATTCGGCATTAACAGAGGCAGGACAGAAACAAAAAACATAAATAGTAAACCGAACAGTGAGTCCACATACACGATCGGTATCACACTGAACTTAGTGCTGGACCAGTCAGAGACATGATGATACTGTTCTTTGAGTCTTTGAGCTGCAAATGCAGCTGCACATGAGGCTGTGCAGACCTGCAGGACAGGTGGGAACGCCCACATCCACAAACATTCACACTGCTCCACCACAGGACCCTGGAGCATGCTTGTGCTTTTGTGATAGGCCACTTTCAGTCTGTGCATGCTGCTCTATAGTGTCTGCATAGTGGGTAGTATACATGAGGGTACAATATGCTTTAAACATTGATTTTTCCGTTACTAAAATAGTTGATATATAGGGCTTCAGTACAGTGCAGAAAATGCCTTATGTGGTGTTATTAAACATGGACATTATTTTAGCTGTGAAATCCACATATTTTCTCTAATGGAGAGCTGCCATGTTATTGAAGTGTGTGTCTGTGCGAGCACCAGAGGGAAAATTAAAATCTCTGTCTCCCATGTACCTTCCAAAAATACATGGCACATGTCTCCATGGAATATGTTTGATCATTGCCATTTTTAGAAGTTCACATTTTTTTGAAATCTTGATTTAAAGAAATCAGTTTTTAAAAGGACGGTAAGAGAAAGCAATGAATATTCATGAGGTGTATTTGATGTGGAGCTGTCAGAGGAGCTCTTCTTTTGTGCTGGAGTGAGCAGGAGGACCTCAGGCCTGCAGAGGGCCTGTGCACCACATGTGCTCTGACTTGCTCCATCTATTTTCCGCTTTTCACTAATGCTCTTTTTTTTTTCTATTACTTTTTTCTTTAAAGACAGTTTGAGTCTTTTACAAAACCCTTTCACGTGCTCTTACAGCTCTTTTGCAACGGTAACCAAGCTGAGCACATAGCCTTCATTGTACACTACAACAAAACATTCTGACCATCTTTGCGATGATCCACATCATATTATTCTCATTATCGTACACATCATTTACAATGTGTCCATCACTCTATGCATCCACTGCCATTTCATACAATAACTGCAAAGGTGAAATGAAACCCTAATCTCCACCTACTTGTCTTCTGTATAGAAGTCGTTTGTTTGCTGACCAAGCGTCAGTGCCTATTGCCATGGTAACAGACCACAGTCAATCGAAAGCTCATCAGCATACACATGCGGAGAGTGTGTCTGACAGCCGCTCTGTTTGAATTGGGCCTTGCATCTGAAAGTAATAAAAACACTTCAGGTGCTACAGCTGAGAGTGTGCTGCAGCTGCCATGTCTGGAATTCTATTGTATTGTCTCTGTAATTTTCCACTGCAGGTGATCGCAATAGTTACAGACTCCCTTACAGACCTGGACATCTTCAAGGACCTGAAGGAAGCCTGCTGTAACCGCAAAGTCCCGGTGTACCTCCTACTCGACCAGCCCAGTGCCCCCGCCTTCTTCAAGATGTGCCGACATTTGGGCGTTAACTTGGAGGATCTTCGGGTATGTGTTTATTAAAGCAGGCGGGGTGTGGCTGTGTGTGCGCCAACATTCAAACATGTCCTTTAGCTGTGCTGGGGGAGATATCAGGGTGGGGCTGCCTGTTATTTCTCACTGTTCCTTTTCAATCCTCTCTCCAGCTAATGAGAGTCCGGACCATCACTGGCACCACTTATTACACCAGGACAGGGGCAAGGATCACTGGGAGAGTTCATGAGAGATTCATGCTGATTGATGGAAACAGAGTGGCTACAGGTTCCTACAGGTATAACGCCCTTCTGCATCCTCTATACAGGAATGTCTGACATGTGCACGCCAAACATTAATCCTCTCTTAAATCGCTCCTCCAGGCACAGCAATAATGTGCAGGGAAATAACATGATCAGTAATGGCCCCCTTAGAATTAGAAAGCTTTATCAGCTTTATTTGTTAAAAATGAGTTGTTAAATGCTGTAATAGGTAAATCGATGTATTGCAACAAATGGATTATTGGAATAGTTTTTATAGAATCTTAAAAATACATTTAATTTTTTCATTTGAAAATAGTACAAGCGTCATGGCCGGTCATCAGACATGAACTGATGCCCAAACCTCTGGACTCGTCGCCCTTCATCACTTGTCTGATGAAGCGAAACGTCACCTTAGTGTAAACCACAATAACTATTTGGGCGCTAAAAGCTGTGCTCTATTTATAGAACTCCTTTCATAGACATTGCAAAACAATGGACGGCTTGCAATCATGTTCTAGAATTCTATTTCAGCTAGAAGGCAAGGGTCATTAAAAGAAATGTTTTCCCAGCTCATTAGACGATTGTGATTTGTTGATTCACAAACCGGCCATATGATTCTCATGTACGTGCTTTAGTGCTTTCTAACCAACATCATGCATATGTTTTTTTAATATTGTCACCACATCTAAACTTCTTTTATGAGAAGATACATAGACCACGGGTGATATGTACTGACAAAGAAGACGTGGAACTTTGTGACAGTATTTGTTTCATGTGGATTGGGCCCAGAGATTACCTATTAAATTACCTATAAACTGACTTTTGACTGTTACCCTTGTTACCAGGAGAAATTTCTCTGCTGCCCTCAACCAAAATATTAAGCAATAAGCTCTTTGGAACATAGTCCGGTCACATGAACACAACCCATACAGTAGATTGGATATTTTCTCTAAGGATGTTGGGCTTGAAGTATTGCTTTTGTATCCCCCCTCCCCCCAAATTCACAGCTCAAACGTGTATTTCTTTTGTCACAACTCTCACTTTCACTCCTAACCCGTTTCATTCAAACGTGTGACATGCCATTATCTTTTCAATTTAACGCATGCCTTGTCTACAAGCATGGCGTCACTGACTGCAGCCTAACGTTATAGAATATTTTACAAGAAATATGACTATGCTGTGTGTTGAAAATCTAAATTTGAGTATCCAAAAACAGCTACTTTCTGTAGCCCCAAGACTACAGAAAGTCTAGTTTAAACAAAGAAGACGGCACCTTCTATTTTTAATAACCCACCAAAAAATATAGCATGGAAAAATAATGAGTTTGGTATTACTGCTCTGCCCAGCCACTGCCTGGACAGCTCCCTGTTTTTATAAAGCACACGATTCTAATTTAGAATTTCACCAAGAGACTGAGCATGAATGTCAAATTTACAACAACATCGCTGAGTTTTCTTTTATCAATGGATATAGAATTATGAACAAAAAAGTACTAAACTTGAGCTCGTCTTCCTGGGGCATCACATTCTTTGTACTTGGCATTAAAGCTCTATTGTAACACACAATGTAAATGTCCAAATAGATTCACACATGGAGCTACCCTGTGTAGTTACAATAACTTATAGTTAAAGCGGGCAGATCTATATGTAGAATTTGGGCTTCATCTAATAAAAGCTTAAAAACCTGTTGTCGTTTGTTTAGATACAACTGGACCGATGGAAAACTCAACAGCAGTAACCTGGTTGAGCTTTCCGGCCAGATATCTGAGAAATTTGACGAAGAGTTTCGAATCCTCTACGCCCAGTCTTCTCCTCTGAACACCCACAGACCCCCGAGTGTTCGCAACAGTGGGATCTTTGAACGCCACCTCTTCAAACTGCCCTCCTCTCCTTTCACACCAAAGCAGAGACCGGCCGACCATGTGTGCGTCACCAGTACTCCAACAAGAACACCGCAAAAGCCAATAGTCCAGTCCACACCAGAGCCAAAAGTGGACACACAAACCAACACTTTGAACCAGAACTTTCAGAATGAAGAAATCCTGGCCGGCAGCGACAAAATACGTGACATTGTGCCGTGCCACGCTTCAACCCAGACCAGCTTCACGGACGCAGACGGCGAATCTCACAAACAGCAACAAGATGAGTCCCCGAACACTCAAACCAACAAAACGATGCCCAAGCAGCTCTTCCAACACGAGTCCAAAGAGTCAGAGTTAAAAGCATGCTTCTACAAACTGGCTACTGAGCGCCAATGTCAGTACACAGCCATTCGTGGTAAGCTGGAGCATATAGTGGGGATGATGACCCAGAGGCGAGAGCTTGTGGACATTAGCAACTTGAGAAACGCAGGGAACTGTGAGCAGAGGAAAGGACCAGACGTGAGGGTCATTGCTGAGAACGCCTGTATGGGCACGTGGCCGAGAGCGAGATGCTTCCACTAAACTGGTGCTGGAGAGAAGGTAGCAACACTGATTTTAAGGGCGGCAAGATGAATAGCATGGAATTGAAATGGCAATTTTGTGGTCGCAATTTGCATAATTTAATTAAAGGAGACATATTATGCAGTGGTTGCAAGTTGAAATTTAAATTTGAAAAAAAAAAAAAAATCTATACCTCCCTCCGGTGGTGGCATAGGGAGTTGCAGTCTGATAGCTTTATGTACACTTTCTACTGAAGATATTATTTCACATTCAAAAACGTTCCAAAAATAATGCGTAAAATGCGTAAATTCTTTAAGGAACGAAGGTCAGTTGTGTTGACAATTGAATCAGTATCCTTACCTATTTCCTCACCAGGATCTTTGCAGTAGATGTATATTTCTCATTCTAAGTGAAAAGTGTGAAATCTTTTTTATATTTTGGGTAAAACAAAGAATTTTGTGTTTGTGGCCAAAGCTCATTTAGTCAAGAATTTATAAAGCCAGATTTGTATCTTTTTTTTTCAACTGAAAGAAATCATGTACAGTATTTGAGGCTTTCTGAAATATGTATCTTAAAATGTAGCTCTTGAAATGGGCCAAATGCTATCTAAAGAAAACCCCCATTTCAACATGGACGCTACAAGTCTTTCTTACTTTTGGTTCAGTGAAGCATATTAAATCTAAAAATATATATGTAATACAAATTAATACAATCAAAAACATGAGTTATAAGCAAACTTGTGTTGTGGCTGGGGATGTAAAAAACTGTGAATTTTCATGACCGACCACCGAGCCTCATTAACCGGTTGAAACCGGTTAACCGCATAGTTTAAAATATCCCAGGTTCTTTGATATAACAGCCATTTCGAGCCGCGTACTTTTCATAAGTGCAGCTGAGCGTTCTTCTGGATCAGAGCCGAGACAGCGGCACCAAAACAGCTTCGGCACCTTTGCGCACAGAGAACTGCTTTTTTAATCTTCCTATTCTTTTGTGCTGCAGGGTAAAGCACATGGTCAGAGCAGCGAGTGACGAGGCGCGTCTCGCAGGTCTCCGCTAAAGTTTTAATACAAATGATGTGTGTGGAGCTGATCTAATGACAAGGACCATACACACAAACATGTTTCATGTGGTTTGACTGAAGCCGCGTATTTGCGAGGATCCTTTGGGTTGCGTAACATAGACGTGAGTGTGTGCATACGCATACATATACATATGTGGCGCGTGCGGCATGAAAGTCGGCCTGGAGTTTACTAATACATTGGCGCACACAGCTAGATACGGACCCGCTCGTCACACCGTGCAAATAGGGCTTAAAATTGCGTTATTAAGAGACCTCCCCTCTCCCCGTTTTCTTTTTTTTTAACCGACAGCTTGGACCGGTTAACGCTGTGACGGTCAACCACCGGTGAAACGGTCACCGATTTACATCCCTAGTTGTGGCCCCGGACCAGAATGATTTTGACCCCTGGGGTACATGCAACAACATACATGCCCCATCTAAGCTGGCGTGGGGGTACACAGAGCAAAAAGGTTGGGAACCACTGCACTAAGGCTCGGGCACTGGGCCAGATTTAGGAGCAATGTACTTTAATTTGGAATTTTGCCGATCCTGATTTTAGAGGAGCAGACGACCAGTGAGGTTTGCCAAGATTTTTTGACTGATTTAGATAATTATCCTCAAATAATTTAGTTTGATTTCACACATGTTAATTTCACAATTGGTTTTACAACACACCGGAGGAGAGAGTTGTTTAGCATTTTTTTTAGCTCAGTTTTTTTAAGTAGCACAAAGAAATTATTGATTAATGTTGTCAAGATGTCTTTTTAAAGAAAAAGAAGATGTATCAATCAATAGATATTTAAATAATTATGGTAGTTGATGGTCATTGTGACTCAAATGATTTGTTGGTTTTACAGCAGTATTTTTCTTCATGCCATTATTCATTTCACATTTTGCAAAAATGGAGTCTCCATTATTGAATAAATTGACGCGCTTGTTTATTAAGGAAAAAATGGGCACAGTTGTTGATAATGGGTTGCTAGATTTAGGCCTGAATATCTGGCCACAGTGGCGTAACCTGAGTGTAGCGGGTCAACTTTCGGGCAGACTTTAGAGCAGACTTTAGGGCATGCGCCAGGGCTCCGTGGACCTCAGCCTTCAAACAACTTCAGCAGATTGGAATAGATGCTGCAAAGGCACACAGTATTGACACCACAGTCGCTGTAAAACAGAGAGATAATTCTTTATCTTTTTAAATCGAAATGTTTAACGTTACCATCAACACCTGTTACTGTGACATCCCTAATAATATATTTGTGATTTCCACTGATGCTTAATGAAATTGTCAAGCTCTAGGCCCTGACTTTTTTTAACTGTGCCTTCTGTATTATGTTATTGCTGTTTCAGGAAACGATTTAAGGTTTTGCACAAGAATTTATATATATTTATGCAACAGATTTTGAACGCGCCTTGGGGTTTTTCTCGGTGGTGGGCTACTGCGTTATTAGTTATCACAATGACAAGTTTCATCTAAATGATATTATTGCTGTAAGTGCCCCAGCACCTTTCCACGGAGCAGCTGGCTCTCACTGTGCCTTGCTAATAAATTGTAATGTTTCCTTTCTGATGCCTGAGATTTTTTCTTCCCAATTCTTTTGTGTTTGCCTCTACCGTAATTGTACATTTACATGCAATCAATATCCAGCTAAGAATGGCTTGGAAAATATTTGGTCGGAAGTTCCACAAAACACAAGGATACAAAATGCGCCAATGTCACTTCACAACAAAAACCAGCACCTGCGCTTCTCTTCATGCAATTACTTTAGAGAGACAGCATCTGTGAAACTGGCTCCGCGGATGATTGGGCGGCCAATCACGGGGGCTGTCCAGGGCAAATTTGGAAAAGGAGTGCTGTTCTATATCGCAAAAAAGATTAGTGTGAATGCTAAATGAAATGCCTATTTACATAGACAGATGGGCCATTACAACTGTGCCTTTTTGAAAATATATTTAACACATCAGGTCTTGTCAACATAATCCTTTAAAAAATATTTCCAGATGGCCAACGAACAATCCTTAAGAAGCAGCGACTTTGCCTCATATTAAAATTGTGCAGCTAAGTTGATCACCAGCAATTTGCTTTGAGGGGGATCTGGTTTGGTCTGTTGAGGAATGTGTTTGAGTAGCACTACAGTCTATGGGCGGCACTAATAATCGCAAACCGAATCAGGGACCAAAGAGAAACAAAACATCAGTTGAATTTGGGGGATTTTGTCTTGTTGTGGGACAGAAGCAATATTTTCTCAATTTAAATCAAATAATGTTCAGAATTTATATAAACTCTCAGAATGTTCACATATCTGACAAAATGTTGATAAAATATTAAAGCATTACAAAGCACTACAAAAGCATTTATGAATATTTAGCATTTTTACAGTGAATATTTCATCTCTACTAAAATAAATGAAGGTACCAAAGGTTAGAACTCTATCTAGAAATTCTGAAATGTGTAAGGATTGTGCATGACCTTCTGCGAGCTACAATGAATAATAATCATTGTACAGCAATTTTAGTAATTTTAGTAATCAACTTATCATTAACAATGTGACTCCAACACATTTTAAGACTCAAACAAGTATTAGAAAAACACAAACAAGAAATGCATAAAGGTCAAAATGTATTTATGAAATAGTTTTGTTTGGAAATTACTTGAATGTTTTTGACATCAAATTGAGATAAAAATGACAAATCCGTGAATAAACGAATCGATTAATCAAGTGGGTAAGTAAGTAATCTTTATTTATATACCGCCTTTCACAGACCAGAGTCACAAAGCGGTTTACGATTGTGAGCATTTGTCTCTCCACACAGAGATGGTCGCCAGTACAGGAGGCGCATGCCAGACCTATTGTACATGTTATTAGTGGTAGGGGAAACCAGACACGCAGACACAGTAGAAATAAAGTTTAAACTCTGAAAATTAGAATATCTGTAATCAAACTTTAAATGTGAAACCAAAATACAGAAGGATACAGACTCATTACCTACAAAGTTGTTCGTTATAATGTGATTATGGCTTATAGTCCTGCTTCAAAGTATTCACATTTTCTAAGATGATGTATTTGCTGTAGTTTTTATTTCTAATTAATTATTAATTGTACAATTAAATGAAAAGAAAAACATATATACACTATTTGAAAATGTGTAGGCAGAACTAAAACTTTGCTTCCTACACTTTTTTACATTATCCTTCCTTAACAGAATTTCAAATGATTCACTTAGATTTACATAAACATTAGATATATCTCATTACCATAAATTATCATTTTAAAGGCACATTAAACACCAGTGATGTTCTAGGATTACCATTTCTACTTAAACGTTTAGTGATTTAATTAGAAAATGTTATGTAGGAGTATTTACAGCTGTGAGCCAATTATCAACATTATTCCAAATAAAGGCGTGTTATATCTCACTTTGCATGAAACGAGTCTGTATTAGTCTCACATTGTGAATTGAACTACAGAAGTAAGTGGTTGTTTGAATGATATTGTAATATTACGAGTTTCACCAGTATGTATTTTGGCAGAAAGCACAGGCCTAGAGCTGTCAGCCTATAGGGCACTCCCTCCACCGCCCTCCACTTGTGACACTAATGAGACTGTGTTTACACCTCCTCTTGTGGGCTGTACGTCTGGAACTCGTGTCTTGCATTTAGGCACAAGGTCCTGCTGAGACGGATCACAACATTTCACTATTGCAGCGTGGATTAACTAAAGGAGGTGTGTTAAAGTTTACAATCCAAGGTGTAACTTCCGATGTACGCAGCAGCTGTGTCTCGGAAAAGTTATATCACGAAGAAGAAAGATTTGTGGGTTTTATTTTTATCTTTACTCATTTTAATGTATAGTAATTATTTATGTTTTTAATGCCTTGTGCGGTTGTTTCTGTCTTGTTTAAAGATAAGATAAGATAAGCTAGACTTTATTGATCTCACACAGGAGAAATTTACATGTCACAT